CTGGCTTGTCAATTAGTGAACAAACAATAAGGGCTTGTACCTATTACCGGTATCTTGTGCTTGTCCCCTGATCCCGCTATTCTACCTTCTACGATATAATCATACTACAAGAAGAAAACTTTGTATTAAATTTACGCTGTTTTATTTTCCGCGATTCAGAACTCGTCGCGAACAAAGCGGAAATTGGATACACGCGGAAAAATCCTGATATACGGTAACATGTAAAGTTAATTCTAAATGAAAATTCTGGAAAAAAAAATTGCTTGAAGTACCATTTTGAAAAAATATTGAATCTGCTCCATAAGCATATGCTTAGTAAAGCAAGGTTTCTTATTTCAATTTGCAATCAGAGATTCACTAGTTTTTATTGATTCATTACTATGTTAATCTGGGTCATCAGTAAACCATGGATTGTCTTAAATGTCATACTTACTATGTAAGTCTGGGCCGTCGGTGAATCGCGGATTGTCTAGTAACATCTGCGAGGCCTCAGACCAGGTCGTAGAGAACGTCAGACTCGGCATGCTGTCCAGGATCTCTGTGAACACCTTCGTATTTCTTTTCCTCAGAGACTTGGATTCCTCCTGTTAACAGTCAAATATTATGTCACATTTGTTCTACATTTACTACAGTTAACAGTCAAATATTCATGTTTCATATGTTTTACATTTTCTACTCGTGTTCTTCTCCTTCTATCTATTGTCACAGGTGATGAAAAATCCAAGTCTCAATCAGGACTTAAACCCAGAACCTCTGACTTACCAAGCCAGCATTTTAACCACTGAGCTATTGAGACCCCATATACTGACTGATTCTCACACACCTGTATACCTGGAGACACTATCATTCTGAATGAAGACTTCTTAAAGGAATGTTAAACAAATGAATAATCTTCCTTAGTTGTAAAGCACATCTTATATCTTCTACCTAAGTATTCACATTCCTTCCTGTCAGAAGTAAATTATTCACATAATCATATGTGATAAGAAGCCACCATAAAACCAGGTTTATTGAGTTTTTTCAAGAAATTGAGATTTTTGCATTTTCAGCTACCTGCAGTATGAGTAAGTACAAGAGGCCCATGGGCCATATCGCTCACCTGAGCACTGTGGCTAGGCTAGGAAAAAGTAGCAATTGGTTTATTATTGAAAAGTTTAAATCCAAAAATAGTCCCATGACCAATCATGGCTTTGCTATTCTTGAGAAGATGATTTTTAAAGAATTTTCCTATATATTTCTATGTAAAACTTTGGTCGGCCATTTTGGCCTCGCCCTACCCCCGGGAGTCATGATTTGAACAAATTTGAATTTTTTTGGCCCCGCCCTACCCCTGGGGGTCATGATTTGAACAAACTTGAATGAGCACTGCCTGAGGATGCTTCCATATAAATATGACCATTCATGCCTTTGCTATTCTTGAGAAGATGATTTTTAAAGAATTTTCCTTTATATTTCTATGTAAAACTTTTGTCGGCCATTTTGAACAAACTTGAATCTACACTACCTAAGGATGTTTCCACATAAGTCTAATCTTTCCTGGCAAAGTGGTTCTTGAGAAGTATATTTTTAAAACATACCACCAAATTTTCATTAATTCCCAATTATCTCCCCTTGAATAAGGGCGTGGCCCTTCATTTGAAGAAACTTGAATTCCCTTCACCCAAGGATGCTTTGTGGCAAGTTTGGTTAAAATTGGCCCAGCGGTTCTTGAGAAGAAGTCAAAAATGTGAAAAGTTTACAGACGGACAGACAGACAGACAGACAGACGTACGATAGACAAAATGTGATCAGAAAAGCTCACTTGAGCTTTCAGCTCAGGTGAGCTAAAAAATCGAAAATGTTAGTGATTCTCCTTTTAATTCTAAAAAAAAAATGAAACATCTTTTTCACAAAATCTCAAAATTTAGACGTTATGGAAGTAATGCTCATTTTATTAGAGAGTAAAAAATAATAAGACATATATAACATTATCAAGCAGATACCTAACACTGATTGTCTACAAATTTGAATTCATATAGTATATGGTCAAATTTTTTTTAATATGCTTATCAAATTCTAGTGCAGAGATGTTAAATTTCTAGTGCAAAAAGTTCAAGACCAAATACTTTACAGAAATTCCCAATTATACAGCACAAAACAGGTAAAAAATTTAGTCAATTTTGGTTTTAACTTTTAAAGAAACAAAAAAAACCCAATCAATTACACAAAAGAATTAACATTTGAATAAATAATCATTTTCATGGAAGTTTGCATGACGCTAGCTGGTTCAATACATGTCTATCTCCATGAAGTATCTTAACTCTCTGGCACAGCAATTTCTTTTTCTTTTTTCTGGATCCACTTTGATGCGAAGTTTTGGACACAGAGGTTTGGGGCATGACTCCAGACTGTCAGATGTATCCCTGCAGAATGGTCTTATTTCATCATACAGATACCACTGTCTTAGAGCATCAAGGCCCTTTGGTTCAATGACTGATGGCAAAGTTACAGTGTTAAATACTTGCTGACCTCTTTTCAAAATGTTGACCAATTTTTCTTCTGAGCTATAATATGTCTTTACTGAGACAGCACCTGGACTGTCTGCAGAAATCTTAAAATGGTGAAATTTTGAGATGGAAGGTAATTTCTTGAAGTAGTAGGAATCAAAGAAAGAAGACCAGTTATAGAATGTAACAGGCCTGTCAACATCACTGATCAGCTGGGGGATATTGTGACCATTTCTGTAAGATTGCCTCACTGATGCCGCTACTTCATCTAGAGTTTCTGCAGTTGAGTGTCTCCACTTCATCTTCCAGAGGCCGAAATGCCAATCTGGACTAAAATTAGTGTGCCCAGCCTCCATTAGTGAGAATTCAACACTGCGGTGTCGGCTTGTCAAAACTCTCCACATGCCATATCTAGAACAAGACATATGAATTTAAATATTAATAAGTTTGAGGTTTCTTAAACCTCACCTGTCTCACCCAGCAAATCAATTTACATTTTTTAAATGTACTAAGTAAACCATTAAGACATGGCACCCATTTATAAATATTTCTGATTTTACATTATAAGGTGTTAAAATTTAATTTTAATCATTTTATTAATTAAAATTTTGCTTTAAATTTACATGAAAAATCAAAATCTGCTTGCTCACAGTGCAATTATCACTTTGAGAAAATATTAAACAAACTAGGTAATAAAACATTTGCTAGTATTTCATTGCTACAAAGAGAATTCCATACTGACGTCCCTATATACATGTACTAGTATATAGTGGGGAAGACCTGGAAAACTGTTGCCTTTGACCTTTGGCAAGAGTTTCTAAGAATACATGTATCTCCACTAACTTAATGGGACAACAATTTGACTGGTTCCCTCTGTTGAAGTTATATAATAGCAAACCCTAACAAAAACAATCTATTTATTGGTCTTGGGTATTAATTAAAGAAAAATACAAGGATAAGTTATAAATAAATGGAATACTACTTAAAATATTTACCTTATCATTGTGTTGTTTTTGTTTTGGCCAGTGCAGTTATCCTTCTGCAACACAACATCCTTCTCTCCACATCCCCAATGCTCAAAAAAATGATGCAGAAGACTGACAACTGTGTTAGCTCCTTTCCCCACTTCCTCAGCTTCATCAACAAGATAAAATCTTTGCACACCTATTGCAAAAATAAAAATTGTTTTACATGCAGCCTTTAAAATATTATTCCACTTTTTTTTACAAACATCTTTTGTCTTCCCATGGTCTGTAAATGAAATAAATCTCATGCAAGTTATTAAATGTCTATAAATTGTTTATGTAATGGGAGAGGAGAAAATGCAGTGGACCAGACCTGAATTCGAACACGGGCCACCTGATTCTCCAGTCAGGTGCTCCACCAACTAAGCTATCTGGCCACTGGCAATCAAACCCGGTTGACCCCCACATTTACATGCAAGTATTATCTGTCTAATTACTGTTTACATGTACCTGCTCCTTCTGCACAAACACCAAAGGCTTGGCACTTTCTAGGGGTCTTGAAAAATAGTGGCCCTACTTCTTGTGCATGGTGAGGATAGTGGACTTGCTGAGTAAAATCAATTGTCCTTCACAAAATAAAAACAATATGCATATAAACTGAAATAATTTGTTCTCATATATTGTGCATTAATTTAATCAGAATGAGAGTGATAAAAGACAGCATGCATGAATCAATAACCTCCTATTAATTTGATGTGGTAGAGTGTTAAACACCATGATTTAGAAAATGAAAATAAAATTTACTGTGCACACCTCTTTCAGATTGATCCACGTTGTGTGTAAGATACAAATCTTTTGACTGCAGACACCTTTCTCTGTAATACTCCCTCTGTTCCTTGGCTCTGTCCAGGTGACAGGTATACTCTTCCAGCATGGCCTTCTTTTCATCCTCAGACAAGTTCCCTGCATTGCTGATGTTGTGAACGTATCTTTGGCACTTAGGACACAGATCAGTAGCCGGTTTCATGATAAGAATATGTGACATTTATTCCAACCAGATTTTCTTAAATTCTGATAAACTGACTTTCCTAAAAAGTTATTCAAGATAGTTAAAAAGACTATCACACTTTTAAAAATGCTTAAAGATTAGTATATACCTTAGGCCATGCAAAATTAATGCCTTGGTTCTTAGGCCTTTTTTCAAGAAATATGATGAGGGAGGGAGGCATTTTTTTTTTTAACTTTTTATTGCCCCCAAAATATGATGAGGCAACTTTTTACACTGTACAACCTTCAAAAAATGATGAGGGAGGTGATTTGGTTTTTATTTTATTGATTTAGCAATAAAAAGGGTCAATGAGACGCCCTTGGAAGAGATGAGGGAGGGCCTGAGAACCAAGAAATTAATTTTTTTTGGCCTTAATATCACAGCATCAGTAAATTACTTTCTAAAGCATATTTAATATTATGAGAAAATTAAAACAGGCCTGAAAATATTTGATTTATGAGTTCATTAAACAAAATTATGCAAACAATAAACAAACCTATAATTCTGCATTACTGCTACTTGATTATAAAGTTCCCAAACATCAGATTTTGTCTAATCAGAAGGAAGCAACAGAAGGACTTTGTTGCCTTGAGTCGAGTAGTCTGGTTGTCTGCCTGGCAGGGAGAGTCCATTCTTCATCGTGTATTCCTCCAAGAACTGACATCAGTAAGAACTGACATTAGTAAAAACGTTGTGCGTTTTTCAAATGTGTTTTTCAGCGGTATTTTCTCGATTATGACGTAAAACTCAACAAGCCTGGTTTTGTCGTGGCGACTCACATATTTTCAACCGATTTTATAAATTCTTGAATCCTCCTCTGTATTTACCTTTTCTTTCTTGGCCAACATGTGGACAACATTGTCAAAGATCTAGTGTCGATCACAATCATCTACACGGCGCCATACCTCCTGGTCACCGAATAAGTCATCTGCCTTCCTGTGTTAAAAAAAGAACCACCTTTGAGATTATCACTTGAGTACCATCAGCAACCAAAAAAATAATCAGTGCTGAGCAACCAGGTGATAAGAAAGATTTTCTATGGACACCAACCAATCCTTGACACTGGAGTTCATTTTTTCGGCCTGAAATAGGAAATGTTCTAAATCTTCTTTGGCCTGTTTTGCTCGCAGTCTTTGCTTCTCCTACAACAAAAACACCAGGTCAGCTATAAAACACCAAACAGCTATAAAACACTAAATCTCTAGAAAACCAGAATTTTGACTGCCATTCTATCTGTTGTATTAAGTAGAATGCTACATATATGTCAACACAATTACTAGAAAATAATCCATAGTTTTTGACTAAAAAGTTTTTAAAAGATTTTTTGCTGATATCTTTAACTAGGAAAGCTAAATCTTTTTTGAATTTATAGTAAAACACATCTATAGGAATGTAGCTATAATGAGTTCAGGCTTCCAATGATTGTGTGGATTAGAATTTGATAACATAACAGCCTCTGATAGTTTCTATTATTAACCTTTTCCTCCTTCACTCTCTTTGTCTTGTACATGTACTCGTTAAAGGCCTGTTTCCTCTCGTTAAGTTGTCTGAGTGCGCCGTAACGAGGGTCGTTAACAATCAACTTCAGCGCCTGCTCCCAGCTGGCATTAGATGATACACCCTGTATAATATATACGTATATTCAAATAAAATTAAACTTAAGGGGGGGGGGGGGGAATGTGCAGAAGCATAAAAATCCAAATACATCCTCTATACAGACTTAACTGTAGTGAATTCCATATTTAGCTAACATTTTTGATACAGTCCACTCCAGTTTTATTGAAACCTTTCTATGCTTCAGACCTTTTCTTTGAGTAAACTCTTGAATGCTTTCATTGCCTATTTCTACTGACATTATCAATAATCTGTGTAATTTTCTACTCAATGTGTCAGACCTTTTCTTTGAGCAGACTATTGAAGGCCTCCATTATATCACTAATCTGAGAAGTTTTATACTTGTAATAGTCAGACCTTTTCTTTGAGCAGACTCTTGAATGCCTTCATTGCCTCTTTTTTATTTTTTAAGACAAGGGGGACAACCTCCTTTTTGGGTTTTTCCTCCTCTTCATCACCTAGCCTTTAAGAGAAAAGTTTAGGCAGCCTGGATAGCAGACGACGGTTTAGCTGGTTGCCGTGGTAACGTGATGCTGCCCTGGGCCGCTGGTAAGGGTTTGGCAGGCTGCTGTGGTAGTGTGATGCCGCTGCCAGCAGGGGGCACCGCAGCTACTGATGTAGGGGGCGCTGTGATCACCCCTCCAGAATCTCCACCGCCAACGACACTGAAATAAAACACACAACAGTCATCCCACTGAACGAGAACGGCTATCAACAGAAATCTTCCCTAGTGAAACCCGTAAAGTGTCCTAATTATTTAGTACAGAGACATAAACAGGTGTGAATTCTGTAGAATATTTACCTTGAATCTTGTGTCTTCTTGGCAACCATTTCTAGAAAAAAATAAAAATATTCTCATTAAAGAAGGTTCTTTCTTAGTTGTAGTAGTAATGAAGTACCCCACTAATATAACTTCCCCTGAGGACCCACTGATAATTTCAGAGAACTTCCCATATCCCCCTGTATCTTCTCCTGTTCTTACCGAGAACTCTTGGTTCACTCACCCTCTAGTTCCTCAAGCCCTTTGGGTTTGGTCCAGCGGGAATCCTTGGTTTGTGAATTATAGATCTGAAGTAAATTTTACCAGAGTCAGACTTATACTCCTTCCTGGGACAGTTAGACAGCATCAGCTGTAATGAAAACATGTGTAATGAGAACACGTGTAATAGAACTCAGAAACTTAAGCTGTTTAGCATTCGCTTTATTCTTTAAAGTTATTGGCTAAATCAGAATTATATTGGGAAATATGTCCTCCAGATGTTTGTTAGATGAGGTGGGCTATGGTGTTTGTTAGATGAGGTGGGCTATGGTGTTTGTTAGATGAGGTGGGCTATGGTGTTTGTTAGATGAGGTGGGCTATGGTGTTTGTTAGATGAGGTGGGCTATGGTGTTTGTTAGATGAGGTGGGCTATGGTGTTTGTTAGATGAGGTGGGCTATGGTGTTTGTTAGATGAGGTGGGCTATGGTGTTTGTTAGATGAGGTGGGCTATGGTGTTTGTTAGATGAAGTGGGCTATGGTGTTTGTTAGATGAGGTGGGCTATGGTGTTTGTTAGATGAGGTGGGCTATGGTGTTTGTTAGATGAGGTGGGCTATGGTGTTTGTTAGATGAGGTGGGCTATGGTGTTTGTTAGATGAAGTGGGCTATGGTGTTTGTTAGATGAGGTGGACTATGGTGTTTGTTAGATGAGGTTGGCTATGGTGTTTGTTAGATGAGGTGGGCTATGATGTTTGTTAGATGAGGTGGACTATGCTTGCAAAATAAGTCTCTCTATGTGTTTGTTAGATGAAAGTTAAAAATTTTTACAGGACAAAATGTCTGCTAAAAATTTTATTTTTACCAGACCGACTTTTTTCCTTTAAATCCGTACATCAATATGATACTGAGATTGAGAGGGTGGGTGGGATGGGGTTAATTTGAAACTTTGAAATTTAACCTTATAAATAAATTCAGAGTGATATGGACAGGTTAACTATTCATTATTTTCATTTGTAAAAGGTATCTATTTATACAATTGCATGCATTTTTTCCTTCATATTTGACTTGTACAACATACACTATCAAATATTTTCTAAATTTATTATGCACTTTCAATATTTTATTTTTCTTAAAACAACTCATTATGGTTACTCAAGTTCAATGATCATTTGAAAAAAAAGTTTCCAACCAAATCTACGTATGAGGTATCTAAATATTTTCTCAACCAAATCTACGTATGAGCTATATAAAGATCTCTAACCCTTGACAGAGGAAATTCGAATTAGAATAAAAAACGATCATGACAGGGTTGTAATACATAAAAATTAATCAGGTATTACTGCTAAATGGGTCAAATAAAGGATATTTGTGGGGAATTGGACCATGTGTACCTCTTAATTTTGATTTATTTGGCTTTATATTTTACCGGACATTCGGTCCTGTATTATGAAATTTTTTACCTACCCAACCTAAATTTTACCGGTAAAAATCGACAGTCCGGTGACTTTCCCATAGACTGTATGTGCCTGTATGTTTCAATAAGTGTCTGCATGTTTCTCTATGATTCTATATGCAAAGACTGAGGGCAGGAATATTTCCAGATATTGAGACAATGCTCTTCATAAAATATGTGTTAATTATTTCTACTATAACATTTTTACTTTTGATTAACACTAAGTGCCCCTGACCTCTGCCATTTGAGGTCGTCGGGTTTCTCCCAGCTGGACTGTTTGGTCATGTGATTGTAGTAGTACGTCCGACCATCTACGGACCCGAGCCTTGTGTTCGTCCAAACCTTCTGTAACCAATGTAGCAACATGTAAATCAAATCATGATGTTTTATGGAGTAAAATCATTACAAAATGACCAAGTTTTAATATTTCAAGTATGAAATTTGACAAATTAGCACAATTGGTAAATTTCCTTCATGTACAAAGAGTTAATTAAACTGACACAAACTTGATAATTGATAGATTCTATAAACTTAGTACATATTTCATTTAACTGATACAGACATTTTCCTGCTTGTCGCCGAGTGGAGAGTTGGAGGTGGAGCCAGTCTGTGACACGGACTGAACCTTGGGGTTACCTATAAATAGACACCTCAAGGTCAAGTCAAAATAAACGGGATACAGGGATACATATTCTATCTTCATAAAATATAAGTTTTTATATAACCATTTTTTATAACTCAGTTCCTAACTGAGTTTTACATTCAGTTTCTTATATCCAGGATTTCATTAAATCTCAATTCCTAAAAACTGAGTTTTAAATTCAGTTTCTTACAGGGTTTGACACTAACGGTAGCCTGCTAGCCCGGGACAACTGAATATTGAGGTCGGGCTACCAAACATGCCTTTAAACTTGCCCTGCAGGGCTACTAAGAAT